ACCACCTGTGCATAGCAGGACAGGTCCTGCCCCAAAGAGCTTACAGCTCAAATACGAAAGACACGAAAGGGGTAGGCGGCAGAGAGCATCGCGGTCCCTGTTCTTCAGATCTGAGACATAGGGAGCCTGTGACTTGCCCAAAGTCACTTGGAGTCTTTGGCAGCGGCAGGAGTTGAACATAGATCTCCTGAGCCCCATTCAGCGTCTTAATCACAATCCTTTTTCCTCTCCTGGCGTAGTCTTTGATGTCGTCTTACCAGCTTTTATTGGTAAAATCCAGAAACGCTGGGTATCCTGTATTCTGGGTATAAGTACAGAATTGTTAATAGTATTTCTAGGTGAAGGGGAGTGTTGATGAAATTGTAGTGCACAAATGAAAGTACCTCACTTTCCACTTGTCTAATAACCCCAAGCTAGAGGTGGGAAAGATGTCTAGGGTCCTTTCTAGTTCCTCCTTCTGCACGGGTTGAATCTTTCCCTTCAGTGAGTTCTTCAGTGCTCTGCCCAGCCCAGGTTTAAATCATGCAAGTGGTGAGGTTTCCATGCTTTGGTGAAACCAGAACACCTAACGTTTCACCGCTTCCTTGTATAGATTTGCAACAGGGCAAGGGAATCCATGTGCTGCCGAAATAGGTGCTAGGCTGCCAAAGAAGTCCAGGAGACCTGAACTCAAGGTGTCCTGTGTAAGGAAGGTGAAAGTGAAATGCTGTTCTGGACGGGATTCAGATTCCTGGCTTGTGTTTATTCACAAGGAGTCTAATTATAGCACCTTACCTTGCATCCTTTAGAAGGGCAATGATTTCCCCTCTCTGTAAGGGGTCAAAATTAATGCTTGTCTTGTGCCAAAGAATGAGTGTCCCAGTTGGGTTTGTCTGATATGATACGTTTGAGGGTTCGGACTTGTGCTGGTTGTGCCTGAACTGCTGGAAGAGGCATTTGGCCGAATATATATTTATACCCTTGATGATGGTTGGGTTGCCATGGCAGTCAAAAAGAGAGGGAGCTAGTGTATCCTCTGCAGAAATAGCGACATAGTTTCAATAGTCGAAGTGGATTTTTAACAGATGTGGCTGGATTTCACCAGGTATCTGTAAAATCATTCCCGTGTTACCCCCGACTTCCCGTCTCAGGCTGAGGATGAGCCGCAGAGCCCCCAAGCAGCTCTGACTTGGTTTTCTATTTTTAGTGTGCGTTTATATATTTAGATTTCCCCGGGTACCCGTCAAACACTCTGCACGTTACAGCCGTTGAAAATAGGAACCGCAAATGAGACCCAGACCTCCTGGAAAGGGAAAATCTCCCCAGCCCCAGAAGACCCCATTAAAACACTCTCCCAGTCTCAGCCCCAATCAGTCCCAGCCCACATGGAAGCCTGTAAAAACAGGTGATTCTCATCCTGAAGGGGGCTGGCAAACCCGGGAGAGAAGCAAGTCCAGATTAAGACAGGCGCATTTGTAGATCTCTGTGCCAAAGGCCCCAGCTCCTGGAGTCTTGTGATGAGTTCAGACTACCCACTTGCCTTTTCTTTTTAAATGAAAGTTTTAGTTTTTGTGGCTGTGAAGGGGCAATAGAAACCCAGGATAACTGGTGTGGTGATGCCCTCCTTAGTCTGTGGGCAGCCTGAAACAACAGCTCTGGGAGCTGCACCATGCATCTCAGTGGGGTCTTATTGCCAAGACTCCATGCTCTGGGGGTTCCTGTGCTGCTGCCCCTGTGACTCCTGCGGGAGGGTGGGGCTGTGGGGTGGTTCCTTCTCATGGGGTGCTTAGTCCTGCTTTGGGTGCACAAGGAAGGGCGAGAACGAAGGCCGGGAGTTCCTGGGCCAGGCGCGTGGGCGTTGGCCTGTGTCAGGCGAGCAGGCGACTCGGTCACGTTCACCCCCATGCACCATCCTGCTGCCCCTGAGCTGGGACGTGTCATCCCGGGCTCCAGCCACAGCTTCAGCCGTTGCTGGGCTTCTGAGCACCTGCAAAGACCTGTGACAGGGAGATGCTTACGGAGGGTCTCTGGGGGTGGGCGTGCCTCCGGGGAGGTGTTGGGGGGAGCTGAGAGGGCAGACCCCCAGGCGGGGCGTTATTGGTCATACAAAAACAGCAAGGAGTCTGGTGGCACCTTAAAGACTAACAGATTTATTTGGGCATAAGCTTTCGTGGGTAAAAACCTCACTGTTATAGTCCTAGCCTTCACAACCTCCTCAGGCAAGGAGTTCCACAAGTTGACTGTGCGCCATGTGAAGAACTTCCTTTTTTCTGTTTTAAACCTGCTGCCCATTAATTTCATTTGGTGGCCCCTAGTTCTTATATTAGGGGAACAAGTAAATAACTTTTCCTTATTCCCTTTTCCACACCACTCATGATTTTATATACCTCTATCATATCCCCTCTTAGTCTCCTTTTTTTCCAAGCTGAAAAGTCCTAGCCTCTTTAATCTCTCCTCATACGGGACCCGTTCCAAACCCCTAATCATTTTAGTTGCCCTTCTCTGAACCTTTTCTAGTGCCAGTATATCTTTTTTGAGATGAGGAGACCACATCTGTACGCAGTATTCAAGATGTGGACGTACCATGTATTTATATAAGGGCAATAAGATATTCTCCGTCTTCTATCCCTTTTTTTAATTATTCCTAACATCCTGTTTGCTTTTTTGACGGCTGCTGCACACTGCGTGGACGTCTTCAGAGAACTATCCACGATCTCTTTCCTGATTAGTTGTAGCTAAATTAGCCCCCATCATATTGTATGTATAGTTGGGGTTATTTTTTTCCAATGTGCATTACTTTACATTTATCCACATTAAATTTCATTTGCCATTTTGTTGCCCAATCACTTAGTTTTGTGAGATCTTTTTGAAGTTCTTCACAATCTGCTTTGGTCTTAACTATCTTGAGCAGTTTAGTATTGTCTGCAAACTTTGCCACCTCACTGTTTACCCCTTTCTCCGGATCTTTTATGAATAAGTTGAATAGGATTGGTCCTAGGACTGACCCTTGGGGAACGCCACTAGTTACCCCTCTCCATTCTGAAAATTTACCATTTATTCCCTGTCTTTCAACCAGTTCTCAATCCATGAAAGGACCTTCCCCCTTATCCCATGACAGCTTAATTTACGTAAGAGCCTTTGGTGAGGGACCTTGTCAAAGGCTTTCTGGAAATCTAAGTACACTATGTCCACTAGATCCCCCTTGTCCACATGTTTGTTGACCCCTTCAAAGAACTCTAATAGTTTAGTAAGACATGATTTCCCTTTACAGGGCCACTGCTCCAGGGGGGGCGATTACCTTCCTGGCCTAGCAAATGCTGGGGTGTGGGCCTGTCTTCCTCACTGAGGAAGCAGCATGTGGTGGTGCTGATGATCTCGATTTCCAGGCACTGGAGTCTCGGGGGTTGCGAGTGTTTTAATGAAAAACGTATCTTATTTTTAAGTCTCTGTAACTGCAGCAAAACGCTTTTCAGATTAAACAGTGAATCACATTGTGACAGCTAATGTCAAATACTTTCCGTTAAGTACGATTCATTAAGCAGAGTCTGAAGAGAATACAACACAAAATTAACTTCAAGTGCATGATAAAGGGAGCGGTTTTTTTTAATTAACCAAATATCAAGTTGCTGGTTTTGGAGGGACATCTGTAGAAATTGTACATTTTCCTGATTTTCCCCAAACTAACCTTGATAAGGAAACATTAAGAAACAAAACAAATCTCAACTTGTGACAGAATATGTAGCAATTTTCTCCTGCCACTGGCAGCGCTGCGGCCACTACAACCCAAAGAGTGATGCAGACAAACACTCCCTCCCCCTCCGATAACTTTCCCTTCTTTCTTAGGGGTGCAGACACTGAACCACAGGTAAAGCTCCTTGTAGCTCGGCTGCTGTTGTCTCTGTGTGAGTCGGGGCTCACAAGCCCCCCACAGTGATGCAGTGGTATACGTTGGGTTATCAGGATTCCAGCATCTGCTGAAAGTCAGACCTCCAGAGCCAGAGTTCCTAGGCCCATCACTTCATTCTCTGTTAAGTGCAGTGATTTTACAAACCCTCCTGCGCGGCTGGAGCCTGGCCCAGGATAGTCTCTGACTCTCAGGTTCTGTCTCATAATTGGTGGAAGAATAAGAACTCCAGCGCTTCTGCCATGCACGCACCTTGGGTGGCCCGTGGGCAGAGCTGCTGCGCTGTGCCACGCCATCTCGGGGATGCAGGGTGTTCTGCCATGGAGCACTGTGCATGTGACGCTCCCAATGGCAATGCAAGAGCGTGAGTACCAACTTCAGGGCAGACTGCGAGAAACCGGGGCACCAACCTCTGTGATTTCACCATCCAACTGCACCGAGTGCGGCCTCCTCAGGCACTGAACGTGGAGTCACAGTCTCCTGGCACAGGCGCCGACTTTCAAAAGTGCCGGGGGCTTGACCCCCAGCTCTGCCCCAGGTCCCTCCCCCACTCCACCCCTTCCCCCAAGCGTTTGCATTCACACCTATTTAAACATGGGGTAGCGAGCCCAGACCCTGCCAGTCACACACCTCCAGGGACAGTTCTGGGTCTGCACGACGCAGGCTGCGTTTGGAGCTGGATTGTGCTTAGCTGTACTTCCGGGGGGCGGGGGGCTGTGCACACGAAGCCGTCTGTGCGGAGCGGCACCCCCCGTGTGCTGGCTAGACCTGCTGTGGAGCTGGTGCCCTTCCCTGGTAGCCTGCAATCTAATAGTTATTCCTGGGTTTTACCCAAGCTCCCAGCATCTTGTGACTGGCCATGAAGGGGGGTTGGGTTGGGTGACGTTAGTACTGGGGGACGGTGCTGGATTGACAGCCCTGACCCCCTCGGCATTAGCCACATGGGGAGCCGCAGTGCCAGTTTGCCCTGCCCGTTTGTCTCCCCTTTGTCCTGGAGGGACCTGCGCTGGGGACGGCAGCGTTCAGCTGCGTGTCCATTGCGCACACAGCAGTAGGGACGACGGGCAAAACGTATGAGAGGGGCTTTTAACCTGCCAGACCCTCTGTATTCCTGCAGGTTCCGGAGTCGTTTGGTGTTGGGTCCTCCCTTGCAGCGAGCGATCCCTCCCTAAGGCGCCCTGGATGGATTGCACTCTGCTGTAGGATGTATTTACTTCCCTCCTTCTTCCTTGTACGTCATCCACAACTTGCCTCATCTGAAGGTGCCTCCACCCTCCACCATGAATGATGATCAGAGACTACACAACAATGCGGTAGCTTGGCTGGTCTGCTCGGGGGTCTCCGTTCTAGCCAACACCTGGGGGATTCTGAGTGTAAGTGCCAAGCAGAAGAAATGGAAGCCCCTGGAGTTCCTTATCTGCACACTGGCTGGGACTCACATCCTTAACATAGCCATCCCCATTACTATGTACTCTGTGATCGAGCTCCGGCGGCAGCGCTCAGACTATGAATGGAGCGAAGGCCTCTGCAAGGTCTTTGTCTCCACCTTCTATACCTTAACCTTGGTCACCTGCTTCTCAGTCACCTCCCTGTCCTACCATCGGATGTGGATGGTCCGCTGGCCAGTCAATTACAGGTAAATTTCTCTCTCCCTCCTTTTCTACCTCAATCACATTTTTATTTTTAAAACATGATAAAAATCCCTCGAGTGCAATGACATGCATTCCAAGCTGGCATGAAGTAAGTCTAGAGATGGGGAGCCCCTTGTAGATAGAAACGGACTGACCCTGGCGACCAGCTCTGAGCAGCACACCCAGCATGGTTTCAGTTAAAATCTCGGCTTTTAGAATGAGCTAATCCATTGCCACGTTCTGGGAGCATGATGGATTGGAAAGCTGACTCCCTCTGCACTTCCCTGCCGAGATGAGAGTCCAGAGTTCTGTATTTCCCTCGCCCCAGAACCGGAACTAGGAAGATAAAAAAACGCTTTTCAGTTCCCCCTTCAAACAGCAAACGTCCCATCTGAATTTTGCATACAGAGGCAGAGCAGTGTTAGGCCTGATATTTTGGAGAAAGAATATTAAGGCAGTTGATCAAAGAATTATCCTTAGGAGTTTATGATTTTGCTGCATTTCAGAAGCTGAAAGAATAAACATTCAGTACAAGTTCCTGCTGTCTCTGATATTTTTGGGTCTAATCCTCTTTTATCACTTCCTTTGCAATTTAAATACATTTTCTCTAATATCTCCCAGTACTGTAGAATTTTTTCCTGCTAGGGTGGATTCCAACCACCCCACTGGGAAGCTGGTTGCACTGTGTGTGCTCCCTGGGGCTTTGGGGGGATTGTGAAAACGGCCTGGCCAAGAGGAGCTATGCGACTCCCAGCATGTGAAAACTGCTGCGGCAACCCTCCAGAATCCTTTTCTTCTAGCTGGAGAGATGTTTACATAAAAAACAACTGCGTGTCTGTCTCATTCTCATTTCTTGTACATGCCCCTGGAACTGTTCTCTGAATATTTCCTTTTATCTCCCTTTAACCAACTGCTTTCCATTAGTTCTCTCTCCTTTCGCCCTTTTTTTTTTTATTCAGATGCTGCAGGAGTAGTTACTTATAAATAGACAACACAATATCTGATAGGCGCCTTCAAAAGAGCATAAAGCAAAATGAAAATGACTCTTCTCTTGGGGATTATTAGCAGAGCTTTAGTCTTGGAGAATCTCTATAGAAAAGTTTCTCAATTTGGAGCCTGTCAGTCATGCCAGCCTGAGCTTGACACTGCCACACTCCCCAGCAGCCTTCAGCTAGGTGAGACACTGCCTGGATTTTACCCCTAGTCCTCCAAATTGAATCCGTCCGTCAAGATCAGCAGTCTCTATTGTCTGTTGGCGTTTGGCAGCCTGTATGAAATCGGTCGGTGGCTCTAGCGAGAGCCCGCTGCTGAGACGAATGTATTTTCTACATGTCATTTGAAGTTCTAAGCAACAATCAAAGAGCTGATCCCATAAGAGTATTTATCTGTTTAAAGTAGGAAAAACGCTGCATTGGGTGTTTTGACGATTGAACAGAATTGCCACAGTATGAAAAGATGAAATACGAATAATGCTGCTCTCCTGGGCTGTCTACACAGCAGCTGGGAGGCCTCGTTCCCCGCTTGGCTGGACATACGTACACCAGTTTGACTCAAACTAGTGCCTAAAAATAGGAGTATGGCCTCACGGCTAGGGCTGGCTGGCTGAGTACGTACCCAGGGGCCAGGCAGGATCGTACCCGGGCAGCTCGCCCATGCCTCTGCCCAGACCACCGCAGCCGCATGCTGTTTTTAATGCTCTGGTTCAAGCAGAGCTAACGTGTCGGCCTGAGCTCGGCCGCACACCTGCCAGTGCTGCGTAGACAGACCCTTTTCTGTTCAGCAGCCTGGGGGGAGCCAAGCATAGCACCCTGCCCAGTCAGCTCCTCCACTTGCCGAAGGCCGCCGTTCCCTGGCTCTGTGAGCTGCTTTACTGAAGGCTGGACATGGGGCAGGAGTCGGGCTGGGTGGTGACACCCTCCCTGGAGCAATTGTATTTTTTCCAGTGACCAGAAAGAATCTTGAATAGCACCATGGAGCTGAACTAGGCTGCCAGAAATCATTCCCTTGCCGCGGCACTCGGGGCGGCAGGACAGGGTGAGGATCCAGCCGCACACAGAGAAACCCCAGTGCGGCTAACGTCCGAACCGCCCCGCCACGCCTGAGAGGTAGCACGGCGCGCTCAGGTCGGGTGGGCACGAGGCAAATGCAGCCTCCCCATCCTGAGCTTGGTGCTGTGGGTCAGGGCAGCAGCGTCTCAGGCTCTTGCAGGCTTGTGTGTCGGTGAAGTCCAGGCCCGGCCCTGTGAGGTGTGCGGAGTTGGTGGGAGTTGAAGTCGCTCAGCACCTTGCCGGGCCGGGCCCTGCCTTTGTAGCCAGCTGCCACATTCTGCAGGAGCTGAAAGCAGGAGGGTTGCTTGGCTGGCAGCTGGAGAGGGGCAGTTACCACAGGCCCTGGCTGGCAGTGCCAAGGAGGAGGTGAATTCCGCATGGGCGGGCTAGGTACCAGTTAGAAACCTGACAAGCACTTGTGACGCAAGGTTGGAGATGGATTGGGAAGGACCCCGAGCTTTGAACAGCTGGCCAGTGTAACTGCTTGTGTGCCCAGGTCAATTCCTCCTCAGCTCGCTCGGCCAGTTTGACACAAGCACAAATAATTCACGCCCTCTTCCTCCCACATAACCCCATCCTCCTCAGCAGGGGGTCAGGGTCAGCCGCCCACCTGGTCAGGCTCCATTGTGGCTTGCGAGGCTGTTTTCCTTTTTATCTTTGTATTGTGAGCGCCTTTGCCCTGGTGGTGACATGGCATTTGGGGGCAGTTGGTACCTCTGGGTCTTCTCCAGCCAGCACTGCCCTGCGGGTCTCGTCTGTACCCACGGAAGGCTGTCTTTCTCTCCGCAGGTTGAGCAATACCAAGAAACAAGCTGTTCACACTGTGATGGGCATTTGGATGGTGTCCTTCATCCTCTCCACCTTGCCAGCAGTCGGATGGCATGACACCACCGAGCGCTTCTACGCCAGGGACTGTCGCTTCATTGTCACCGAGATCGGCCTGGGCTTCGGCGTCTGCTTCCTGCTCCTCATCAGTGGCAGTGTGGCGATGGGCGTCGTCTGCACCAGCATCGCCCTCTTCCAGACCTTCTCCGTCCAAATGGGGCACAGCGTCGACAGGAACAAGTTCAACGTGCCTGCCATCGTGGTGGAGGACGCGCAGGGCAAACGGCGCTCGTCCATCGACGGCTCCGAGCCCATCAAGACCTCTCTGCAAATCACCTACCTGGTCACCGGGATCGTGTTCATTTATGATTTCCTGATGGGCTTTCCCATCCTGGTGAGTGACTGCTGGGCAGGAGGGGTTGGATTAGTGACGAGTGCACAAAGGGGGAAAGCTGCCCAGGCTGATGCAACCCCGGACCGGAGGTTTCTGGCGTCCAGAGGGGGCATTTCAGGCAACGTTCGCCCAGGGTAAATGCAGCCGCACACGCTCGTTCCTGGGGCACTTGCTGCTGGACTGTGGAAAGTTGCCCTTCCAATCCCACAGGGGACGGGGGCAGTTTGGGTGCTGGCTGCAGGTTTGGTGGTGCCATGGAAATCATGACTCGGCGTTGGTGCTCCCCCGGCGTGGGGCTGGGACAGTGCCGCTGTTGGGGCTCGGTACCCGGGGCTGAAGGATGTTTCGCTAACAAAGAATAATCAGGTGACCTGGGTTTTCTGAATTGTCTGGGTACTGGAGTGAAATTACCCCAGAGACTCCCCTGCCACCCCCTCCTCGGCGTCTTGCAGCTGTTCCCAGAAACGCCAGGGCCAGAGCGCAAGGCCGTGCTCTGAGGACAAGCTGAGGAGGGGTTCTCTCCCTGCCTGTGTGGAAGGGGAGGTCTGTTGCCTCTGGGGGATTGTACCCCTCATCCCCTGGCCTAGAGCTGTAATAGCTCCTGGTCAGAGCCCCCCTGTGCTGTGGAAACCACTGCCCCCACCCGCAGGTCTACACGGCCTTGGCCCTGGCCTCTAGCAGATCCCCTGAGAGCTGTGAGTTCTGGGGCAATGGGGCAAACCCCACACCCTCAAGAGAGTGGTCTGGGGAAGCTGCTTGAGAGGAACCTCACTGAATGTCCTGCCTCCTGGGCAGGTTTCTCCACGTGGGGAATTCCATGAGACGGTCCCCGTAGTCTACCGGCGGTGTGAGTGCAGACAGCCGGGCTCCCTGGGGAAGCGCTGGGTCCCTGCTCAGTGCCAGCTCCTGCACCATTGCTTGGGAGCCGGGATCCTGCAGCTCTTTCCTGAGCCGGGTTTCACTCCTGCTCTGTGTGAACGAACATTGCTACCATAGCTCTCAGCCTGCTAGGACCCAGACCTGCGAAACTGGCCTCTGACATGCATATGTGAGAGCAGCAAGGAAACAGCCTCACGCAGCAGTGGAGGCAGAGGGGGAGGCTGTGGGATTCGTGCCTTGAACTTTGGCACTTTTCTGGAGTTCTGTGATTCAGAGTTTCCACTGCTAATAAATCACAGGGCGTCTCTGCCGGGCTGTGTGGGACGGAGGGAGCGCCGGGCCTGGAGCGAGTGACGTCCCGCGTTGTCGGGGCGGTCGAGCGGGGTTGGTGCAGAGACGGCAGGACCGATATGCATGCCCGGAACCAAGTGGGCTGGGCGCGCTGTGAGGAGGAATGTAGCCAGAGCCAGAATATGGAATGAATTGAAAGGCTAATAAATGGCAAAGATGGTTTAATGCTGATGAAATGCAGAATAACGATGTCTTTGAAGTGCCGTTCTCATACAAGCCTGCCTGCGCAATAGGCGCGCAGGGATAGGGGGCAGGCAGTGCGTGTCGGGAGCTGGGCTTAGTGAAGAGAGGAGCTGGGACGCTGGCAGGTCTGACCCCCCGGCCTGAGCATTGTCAAATCCGCTCAGCACAGAGCGTTACTGAGGCAGGAACCAAGTGCATGTGCAGCCGCCCCATCTGCCTGTGCGGGGGTCTGGGGAGCCTTGTGGTGGGGCAGCTGGGACGGGCTTGTGGTTAAGACACTGGGCTGGACCCCTGGGGAATGTGGTTCAGTTCCCAACTCTGCCACTGCCTCCCTGAGTGACCTTGGGCAGGTCTCTCTGTGCCTGCATTCCCATTGGCAGCATGGGGCAGTAGCACTGCCCAGCTTTGTGGGGTGGGGGGAGGGATGCCAGTGAGGCATCCAGATACCACAGTGTGTGTGTTGAGGGGGGAGGGCATGTGAGTACATCGATTCATGCAGATGAATTCCAGCAGCTTTAGGGCAAGGAAAGCGAGGCCCCAGAAGGGAGCAGAATCATAGACTATCAGGGTTGGAAGGGACCTCAGGAGGTATCTAGTCCAACCCCCTGCTCAAAGCAGGACCAACACCAGCTGAATTATCCCAAGCCATGTGACGCCTCCGATTGGTCCTGCCCCAGCACTTCCCGTGTTTGGCTTGTGATGGAGAATGGGGGCGAGTGGCCATGGGGCGTGCCGGCCCCTCCTCTCCATCACGAGAAGGGGCTGTGAGCACAGGACTGGAGACAGGGAGGGCTACGCACCTGGAGTTAGCCAGAGAAAAAGGCATGGACCTGAGAACTGCCTGGGCAAGTGTCCGCAATGCTTTATTCTGTGGCTGTCGTGTATAGTGGGGATGGGAATCCTGTGGCTTTTAAGATAATGCTGGACGTGTGGCAGGCCCAGCGTTCACACCAGGCAGCTGGGGGTGGTAAGTGCCTGTATTTACCGCATGGGAAGTAGCTTATGAAATGCCCAGCAGAGGCAAGTGATGCAGATTTCCCTGCTTCGGCTGTAACATTTATTCACTTGGTTCTTTCGGTAGCTGGTGCAGCTCCTCTAAGCAGGACTCTGTGTGCATCTTTGGCTTCTCTGGGGAGAGAAGGGAGAAGCACTGGCAGGACCCTCGTCAGGCGAGAATACGTGTACGTGCATTGCAATGGATGGAGAGCTGGTACAGGCCTCTGGCCCAGCCTGCACAAAGAGGAAGGCCTGTTGCTAAAGCCATTCAAAAAGGCCTGTTGTTGTGCAGGCAAAACATGACAGAGACGTGTTGCCTGGCTGAGATTTTGTTCCCTGAGCTGCCAGCTCATCCACACCTTGCCAGCAAATAATATCCACTCTCGGAAGCCATGAGTCAGTGAGCGATAGCCCCTGTGGAGAGTGTGATTGCATTCCACCCTGGAGACATGGCCCCAGATGGGCGATGGGGCGCGGTTCACCCTGG